GACTCTCTGACTCATATAATCTATTGGACAACAAAAAGGGGATGATTATGCAATATGAAAGGAAATGGCAATGATGCAGATAAAAGAGGCAAAAGATGGGTCTGGGGGGACATCTAAACAACATATCCATAACCTACAGCTGGTGTCTGAGGAACTGGGAACTGTGGTTACAATCTGAAATGAGTAGAGTTCAGAAGGCGTAAAGTGCCCACTTTTGGATATTGTGTACAGTTCTGGTCATCCTTCTATAGGAAGGATATTTTTAAATTGGAAAGGGTGCAGCAAAGATTTACAAAGAAGTTGCCACAACTGGAGGGTTTGAGTCATAGGGAGAAACTGGGACTTTTTTCACTGGAGCGTAGGAGCTGACCTTATAGAAGTATTTAAAATCATACATAGATAAGGTGAATAGCAAAGGTTTTTATTTTCTTTCCTGAGGGTAGCGGAGTTCAAAACTTGAGGACATAATTTGAAACAAAAAAGGAATTGCTGGAAAAGCTCAGCAGGTCTGGAAGCATCTGTACAGGGAAATCAGAGTTAACGTTTAGGATCAAGTCATCCTTCCTCAGATTTACAGGATCTACAATTCTTTCGGTTTTTACTTAGGCCATAATTTTAAGGTGACAGGAGAAGGAATTAAAAGGGACTTGAGGGGCAACAGATTTCACACAGAGGATGCTTCCTGTATAGAATGAACTGCCAGAGAAAGTGGGAGATGCAGGTACAGTTACAACACTTAAAAGACATTTGGACAGTACATGGGTAGGAAAGGTTTAGTGGGATACGGACCAAACGTAGGCAAATGGGACTAGTCTAGTTTGGGAAACATGGCATGGATGAGTTGGGTTGAAGGGTCTGTTTCCATGCTGTATGACCCAACGATCCTCTCCTGACGTAGAGGAGACAATAAGCTTGAATACTAAGTTGCAATGAGTTATTTTGGATCAGGTCAGGGATTTGGATGCTACCCAATTTGTGCAGCGCAGTCACATAACGGTGAGGGCTCACTGCGCGTCTCAAAACTGGTATGTATATAGAGCCAGCAAGTGATGGTAACTTACCAATGCATTGGGAAAGCAAACTCCAGCTAAAATAATTGGCTCGGAGATAGCAAGAACTGCAGATGCTTGGAGTCAGAGTCAATACAGTGTGGAGCCGCCACACTGTGATGACTTGAAATGATTGGCTCATAGTTTCCAAGGCGAGAGAAATGCACTTCAGTTGTTACAAACCCGAGTCCACAGTGTGCTCAAGAATAGTCAGTTCCATTAGCAGAAAATAACAAGTCATTTCACTCATTGCATGAAGCATCAAAAAAACACACAGGAATTGATTAATGAAGGCTGCAAAATGTTGAAATTCAATGGAGATTGGAGTCCAAATTGTTGGGCCACTCGTCTTCGGTAAAGTACTCCTTCACTTTGATGTAATCCATTAAGTGGCATCCGTTAGCTTAGGGGAGAGACTTGCAGGAAAGGAGGCTTGCAGAAGCAAAGAAATTGCACTGTCTATGTCATGTTGGTTCCGGGGGGTATATATGAACGCAAGAAATAGGAACAAGGAGTGGGCTATTCGGCCTCCACCTTTCCCTCGTTAGGCAAACCCCTTCAGCCAACAAAAACAGCCCAGAGAACTTTCCTTGAACAGCCTTCAATGCAGATACATACATCTTTAAGTAAGGTGATCAAAACTGTACTAAACTAGGTTGGTCTCACCAACCGTTTTCAGGTGTAGCAAGACTTCCCCACTATTTCCCCTGGGATAATAAAGACAGACATTTCATTTGCCTTTCTAATTACTTGTTTATGGGTCTGCCCTTTTGAAACTCATATGCAGAGACACTCAGATCCCTCTGCAGAATTCTGCAGTCACAGCATTGTACAGCGCGGAAACAGACCCTTCCGTCCAACTCGTCCAAGCCGACCAGATATCCTAAATTAATCAAGTCCCATTTGCCAACGTGACCCAGATCCCTCTAAACCCTTCCTATTCATGAACCCATCCAGATGCCTTTTAAATGTTGTACCTGTGCCAGCCTCCACCACTTCCTCTGGCAGCTCATTCCATACACACACCAGCCTCTGTGTGATTTTGCACACTTCTATAAGGTCACCCTTCAGCCTCTGATGCTTCAGGGAAAATAGATCCAGCCTATCCAGCCTCTCCCTATAGCTCAAATCCTCCAATCCTGGCAACATCCTTGTAAATCTTTTCTGAACCCTTTCAAGTTACATAACATCCTTCCCAAAGCAGGGAGATCAGAATTGAACACAGTATTCCAAAAGTGGCTGGACCAATGTTGTACAGCTGCAACCTGACCGCCCAACCCCTATACTCAATGTACTGACCAATAAAGGCATGCGTACCAAATGCCTTCATCACTATCCTATCTACCGGCGAATCTACTTTCAAGGAACAAAGAACCTGCACTCTTTGTTCAGCAACACTCCCCAGGACGTTATGCTTAAGTTTTTCATTCATGCCCTGATTCGCCTTTCCTAAATGCAGCACCTTACATTATGTAAATTAAACTCCATCTGCCACTCTCCAATTTGAACAACAGTCTGATTCTTGGCTTCCTGCTTCAACAGTTTTGTCAAGGCATGTTTCAGCCATGGCGCACAGGAATAGGAAGGGCTCTGGCTGAGTCAGTAGGGCTACCTCTGGTCATTGTGAAGCCCCATGAGGCTTAAGCACCAGGCCTAGGTTGACACCCCACAGTGCACTGCTGCACTGTCAGAGCTGCCCTTGCACAGAACAACGTTGAACCTCATCCCTCCCAGATCTCCCTGGAACTATTTCAGATAAGGTTAATAATCTACTTGGTGGACAATAAAATTGATAACAACAAGATGAATGAGTTGGACCTTGTACTGAGCCAGTGGTTAGTGTTCAACAGGAGAACTCAAATAAAAACAATTCAGCCTCTGTTGCCCTTTGCAGGATTTTCCAGTGGGCGAGAAGGGCTAACTGCTAAATGAAAGCAGATGCCAGAGATCTGAAGTAAGAGTAGGTAGTGCTGGAAAAGCCCAACAGGGTCTGCCAGCGTCAGTCGGGAGAGAGAGAGTGAGAGAGATGTAACAAAATCTGGACAGTATCGAGGCTTGGGCTGACAAGTGGTAAGTAACATTCACGCCACATAAATGGCAGGCAATGACCATCTCTAATAAGAGACAATCTAACCACTGCCCCCTTGACATTCAATGGTGTTATCATCACTGAATCACCTCCCATTAGCAACATCCTTGGGTTTACCATTGACTAGAAACTCAACTGCACTTGTCATATAAACACATTGGCTACCAGAGCAGGTCAGAGGTTAGGAATACTGCGGCAAGTAACTCACCTCCTGACTCTCCACAGCCTATCCACAACCCATAAGGCACAAGTCAGGAGTGCGATGGAATATTCCCCACTTGCCTGGATGGGTGCACCTCCAACAACACTCAAGAAGATTGACACTATCCAGGACAAAGCAACCCACTCGACTGGCACCACATCCACAAGCTTACACCTCCGATGCTCAGGAGCAGCAGTGTGTACCATCTACAAGATGCATTGCAGAAATTCACCAACAATCCTCAGAGAACACCTTCCAAACCTATGCTCACTTCCATTTACAGATACATGGGAACACCAGCCCCTGCAATTTTCCCTCCAAGACACTTACCATCCTGACTTGGAAATATATTGATCGTTCCTTCAGTGTCATTGGGTCAAAATCCTGGAATTCCCTCCTTAACAGCACTATGTGGGTCAACCTACAGCATGTGGACTGCAGCGGTTCAAGAAGGCAGCTCACCCCCACCTTCTCAAGGGGCAACTAGGGACGCGCAATAAAATGCTGGCCCAGCCAGTGACGCCCATGTCCCATGAGTGAATAGAGGAAAAAAGAGAGAAACACGTAGAGTCAACATTTCGAGTCTTTTTTGGAACTGAGCAAGTTTCATTGCGTCTAATTGTTAACTCCAGCCAGGACCTGTCACAGGCACTGATAGGTTTCATTGAACTCTGTCTTTGTTGGGGCCATTGTGTGAATTTCGAAACCTGCAGCGGAGTTTCCTTACAGAGCAAGCGCGAGAGGCTCCTGTAATTAAATGATTATGGGTTCGCAAGCTACTAATTCACAACTGAGTTGTTCAATTAAATTGCTATAGTAAGGAGATAAATTGGTTTCTTAATGAATAGAGTGATAGTCGAGAGCAAAATTATTTGCTCCTCATTATGTTAATTGATTTTTATTATCACTATTAGTTACTGGTAAGAGCGATGAATCTCTTTATGAAATCAGCTGGTGTGATTTTGACTCCAGAGTAACATTTGCTCTCAGGTGCCAATGCTAGTGTTATTCCAAGTTAGCTAGGTTTAAATACAGAGTAAAGTATCCTCTACTCTTTTAAACTGAGACTAAATCTCTCTCTGCACTGTCCCCATCAAGCACTGTGAGGACAAGGATAGCACAGGGTTTGGTCAGGACTGTATAGAGGGAACATTACTGTGTATCCAACCCCATGCTTTCTCTGTCCTGGGAGTGTTTGATGGGGACAGTGTAGGGAAGACTTAACTTTCAATTTACAAGAGCAGAAGAAGCTATACACTCCATTCAAAATTGAAGACAGAGATCATGCTGTATCTAACCCTGTGCTGTATCTGTCCTGGGACTGTTTGATTGGGGTGATGTTGAGGAGGCTTCATTCTGCATCCTGCCCGTACTGTCCCTGTTCTAGGAGGGTTTGATGGGGACAGTGTAGAGGGAGCTTTACTCTGTATCTAACCATGTGTTGTACCTGACCTTGGAGTATTTGATGGGGACAGTGTAGAGAGAGCTGTACTCTGTATATATCCCTGCACTGTCCCTGCCCTGGGAGTGTTTGACAGGGACAGTGTAGAGGCAGCTTTACTCTGTATCTAACCCGTGCTGTCCCTGTCCTGAGAGTGTTTGACGGGAGACACATTAAATGGTATAACTCTCAGACAGTTCCTGGTAAATAGTATTTAATTTATTTATCAATCTCAGCCAATAGAACTCCCCATGCCAATGTCACTATCGAGAGGAGGGTGTTGCCTCGGTCGGTTCTGGAGGTTGTGGATTGTAGTGCTGTCAGATCCTGGAAGGGGTATGAAGCCTGGGATGTAGTGTTAGCTTCCACCACTTGCTTCGCAGGTTCAGAAGGAATGTCCCTTCCTGGGGTGTAGGGTCTTCCAGCCTCGTTCGCCTTCACCTCCAGCCAGTCCAGGTAGTTGGCAAGCAGAGTGTACACCCCAGGGCTCTGGAACTCACCACACCCATTCCCCCAGCTCACAATCCCAACCTGGATCCAAGCTTCGGAGTTCATGCCTTGACACATCAGCGGACCCCCGCTGTCTCCCTGCAAAAACAAGCGGAAGCCACTGAGCGCCATCGGAAATCTCTCTGGAGTGGAGATGAGGAGGAATTTCTTCAGCCAGTGTGTGGTGAATCTGTGGAACTCATTGCCACAGAGGGCTGTGGAGGCCAAGTCATTGAGTGTCTTTAAGACGGAGATAGATTCTTAATTGATAAGGGGGATGAAGGTTTAGCAGGTAGAAGGCAGGAGAATGGGGCTGAGAAACATCTCAGCCACGATCGAATGGCAGAGCAGACTCATACAGTCATAGAAATGTACGGTACAGAAAGAGAAACTTATCCAGAGGGCAGTGTACGGAGTGACCTGCCAGAGGAAGTGGTGGAGACTGGTACAATTACAAAATTTCAAATCTGGATGAGTATATGAATAGGATTAGAGGGTCATGGGCTAAATGCTGGCAATGGCACTATATTAATTTGGGACATCTGGTCAGCACGGACCAGTTGGGCCAAAGGGTCTGTTTCCATGCTGTACAGCTCTATGACTCTATAAAGTGCTTCCTGAATATCTCTCCTGAATGGTCTAGCCCTAATTCTCAGACAATGTCCCCTAGTTTTAGAATCCCCAACCAGTGGAAATAGTTTCCCATTTGACCTGAACATTTAGGTGGGAGAAATCTGCCATTCTTGCCTGGTCTGGGCCTCCACATGACTCCATCCCAATTGAATGGGATTGCCCTTAACCACCCTCTGTGATGACCAAGCAAACCACTCAGTGGCAAGGGGCAATTAGGGATGGATGTCAAACGGCAGCCTTGCCCAGCGAGGCCCACGCCCCATGAAAAGGAAAGAGAGAGGCCGTTGGTCTCATTGACTGCCAGTACCAAGCTTGGGGGGCTGAATGGTCTCCTCTGCTCACTCCATCAACACCACCACAAAGAAAGAAGATGGGATTTACCTGACAGGCGTCTCGTCCACCTTCCTCGTACCCGGCGCACAGCATGTTTTTCGTGAGACCTTTCACCCACTTCCGACAGCTGTGCCAGTCAATTAGCTCCACTTCCACCTCTTGTAGGATCGTCGGCCTCTTCTCTAAAGGATGAGCAGCAGATGCAGAAATCAGCACAGCCTTTTCTACCCAGCTGACCCAAACCCATGGAGTGGGCATTGCACCAGGACTGGGGCTGTGTCAGGGAGGGTGCAAAGCCTGGAGAGGATGGGAAAGGGGATAGATGATGGTGGAGTTACAGAAGGGAGGAGCGATAATGAGGAGACAATGGGCAGCAACTAAGGAGAAAGGAGAGGGAACAAAGTCAGGAGGTACAACAAAGGGAAGGTTGAGGGTTACAGGGGCTTTTTATATAGAGTAACAGATACCCAGTAGTGAGTCACAGACTGTATCTAATTGAAGAGTTCAGTGTGGTTTATATGTGGAATAACAGATACCCAGGAGTGAGTTACAGACTGGAATCTAATTGAGGGGTTCTGGGGGTTTTATATACAGTAATACAGATATGAGGGAGTATGTTGCAGACTGGAATCTAAGCGAGGGGTTCAGGGTGGTTTATATATAGAATAACAGGTACCCAGGTGTATGTCACAGACTGGAATCTAATCAAGGGGTTCAGGGTGGTTTATATATAGAATAACAGATATCCAGGAGTGAGTTACACCTGGAATCTAATTGGGTTTGGGGTGGTTTATACACAGAATAACAGATACCCGGGAGTGAGTTACAGACTAGAACTTAATCGAGGGGTTTGCCATGGGGGTTTATATATAGAATAACAGATACTTGGGAGTGAGTTACAGACTGGAATCTAATCAATGGGTTTGGGGTGGTTTTTATATATAGAATAACAGATGCCCACGAGTGATTTACGGATTGATATCCAATTGAAGGGCTTGGTGTGGCTTATACATGGAATAACAGATGTCTGGGAGTGAGTTACAGATTGGAATCTAATCAAGAGGTTCAGGGTGGTTTACATATGGAATAACAGATACCCAGGAGTGAGTTACAGACTGGAATCTAATTGAGGGCTTTGGGGTGGTTTATACATAGAATAAGAGATACCCGGGAGTGAGTCAGAGACTAGAATATAATTGAGGGTTTCAGGGTGGTTTATAATATCGAATAACAGATGACACTGTTGGAGATAGTGGTCGATGTTGCTGTGACAATCTCACTGAGACCTGTGTGTGTGAGAGAGAGATAGGGGAGTGGGGTATGTTGCAGGGTGAGGTGTAGCAGGGTGTGGGGTAGCAGGTTGAGGCGTTTCAGGGAGAGGAGTTGATGGTGACTGTACCAGGACTCTGGTTTACAGTGGGCCCAACCTCTCCACCTGGCATTGAGTGGCTGTGAACAAGGGTCTCCCCATTTTTGGAGCCCCTCCATTATACCAAAACCCCTCGTCCCACATAGTCTGGCACACCAGCTATTGCTTGTCGTGCTGCCCACCTCCCACTAGGGTGTGAGAACAAAAGTGATGGGATGAGGTATTTAAATGTTCATCCATTGACTCCCAGAGAGCCTCAACTGGTGGCAACATAGGCACCAATTTATCTGGGGTGCTGACTCCTCCTTCCTGGCTAGCATCCCACCCATTTACATTCTCTCCCCATCAGCAAAATCACACTGGGGTGGTGAAGGGAGGGGAGAAGGATCACGCCCCGGCCCATTTTTAGTTCATGATCCACGGCTCACCATGTTGGGTTGTACCCCATCCAATGACGAAGCAGGGTTTCCAGTCGTCAATGTCGAACTGGTCATTCAGGGGCAGCAGAACGGGCATCTGGTCATCACTGAAGGAGATGGGGGTCTCCAGCTCCACGATTGCGATGTCGTTATCGAGGTTCAAGTGGTTGTAGCTCTGGTGAATGACGATGCCAGCCACCTTGTATGTCTGCGCTTTGTGGTGCCTCAGTTCTATAGAGCCCGTCTCCACTGAGAGTTGTTTAGCCCTGCACAGAAACCACTCCATTAGTATCAATGCTCTGTCTCCGCACTACCTCCTCTCTCCCCTTCTCTCCCCTAGGAAGCTCAGGCCTCCAATATCACACTCAAATTAGTCAATCTCCAGTTGAGAGCCTTGAAGTAGAGGCCCAAATTTACACACGTCGGGGCCTTCCACAGAGGCACCTATTGTCCATGTTTATGGAGGTTGGATGGGTGCTAAGGTGGGACGAGGTGTTATTCAGGCCTGATTGGAAACTCTTTGCCCCAGGCAACAACAGTATTGGAAAGGGCCCAGGAAATCTCCATGCCAGGACTACCAGCTTCCTCCCACAATAGGCCTTGAGGAGGTTTGTAGGCCGAGGATGGGTGAGAGGAGCTTTCCTTGGAAAAACATTTGTCGGACCCAATGGAAAACTGGTTGGGTCAGATATCTCCCTGAGGCAGAGGAGACTGAGAGACACTAGACAGTGTACAGATATCTCCCTGAGAGAGAGAAGGGACTGAAAGATACCAGTAAGTGTACAGATAGCTCTCTGAGAGAGAGAAGGGACTAAAAGATACCCATCAGTGTACAGATAGCTCTCTGAGAGAGAGAGAGAGAGAGAGGGGACTGAGAGACACCAGTCAGTGTA